AAGCGATTTATTCCAAGGAATATGTGATAGACTAGGTATGAAGAAAACAAGAACTACGGCTTATCATCCGTAATCGGATGGTATGGTAGAACGAATGAATAGAACAGTTGGCAAGTATTTGACAAAGATGGTGTCCGATCATCAGCGAGACTGGGACCAATATCTTCCGTTCTTCACAATGGCCTACAGATCTGCTGTTAATGAATCAACAGGCCAGACACCAGCCAGAGTCCTATTCGGACGCGAGATGCGACTACCTTGTGATCTAGAGTTTGGGTGTCGACCTGGAGAAGATGTAGCAGGTGAAGATTATGTGATCGAATTACGAAGAAGAATGGACGATGTACACGAGTTGGTCCGTTCCCATCTCCAAATCGCTAGTGACCGAATGAAGAAACGGTACGATACACAAGCCGAAAAGGGGTGTTTTAAGAAGAACGATAAAGTCTGGCTTTATAACCCCAAAAAGCGAAAAGGTTGTTCTCCCAAATTGCAGCAGTTTTGGGAAGGTCCATACCTCATTATGGAGAAGATCAATGATGTTATTTACCGAATAAGCAAGATTCCGAGAGGAAAGCCGATGATAGTACACCATAACCGGTTGGCGTCTTTCGAAGGTGACCACGACGTAGATGAAGAAGTGGAAGTAAACCAAGTCCAAGATGTGTCTGACCTCACGTTTAAGGAATTCATGGGTGCCTATGGAGGTACCGGTAAAGCAAGACATGGTGTTACCACTGAAGAAAAGCAAGATCTACTCGCGCTTCCCGATGACTACTCACTGGCCCTTACCATCCCGGCCAGTATCAAAGACGCACCAGGGTTGGCATCTGTCTTTCGAAGGAAGTTCGGTCGAGTTGCAGAACTTCAATGCCAAGTGCCAGCTCCTGGAAAAGCCTTAAAACTTCAAGATGCATCACGTTACCTTTTCTACCTGGTAACAAAAGACACTGCCCGTGATCAACCTACCTACCGAGATGTATGGGAAGCCTTACTTCAGTTGAGAGAGCACGTACTAGAGTTCGACGTGCAAAAGTTAGCCATGCCAAAGTTGGAGTGCCGCCAATTAGATTGGAGGGTTATACGAAACATGGTGGAGGAAATCTTTAAAGTCACCGAAGTCCAGGTGTTAGTCTGTTGCAATCCGCATAGTTACTGGTGCGGAGAGAAAACCGTCCCTTGTCATTTCTATACAACTGGAAGTTGTAAAAGAGGGTCCAGTTGCCGATATCAGCATGTCGTTCCAGTTCCAGTCCCGACAAGGTTTCAGGAGGAACCATCTTTTAAGAGGGGGGCAATGTTACGATTTTAAATGTTATGGCATATAGAACTGTAAATATTTTATGACTAATTCTTTTATTGATTCTCGTAATTTCTAGGTCAAAAATCTACCTGAATCGAATGTTCTGGGGGCGACAAGCCGATAAAGAACATGTTTTGAGACCAGTCGCCGCTGTGTCTACATCGAGAACAGCATGGTATTTTCTACACCTTTCTGTTTACCGGCTTGGAATTTTATAAATAAGGGAACACTTTCATTAAGGAGTCAGTCATAAGAAGCTCGGCAACCGCGATATTTAAATGTAACGAAACATAAATTATTATTTGTAATATAAATTAGAATTAATAAAGACTTTAATAAATTCGTAATTAGTTATCGTGAGTTTTAATAAATTAGATTATAGACAATAAATTAGAATAAAGACAAATAAATTAGAACTATACAAACTCCACAATATGTTCTGATTGTTGGATACAGTGTTTTGAGATTTAGCAAAAAATGGTGTTAAGTTATTTATATTTAATAAATTAGAAAAAAAGCATCCTATGTAGCATATCTGGAGGATAAGAGTTTTCAATTAAAATATGTTTTAACAAATGAAGATCTTCTTGTAGATAGTCTGGATGAGAAAGTTTTAAAACACGTTCCTTTAATCCTGTTATAAGGTTCATTTTCATCTTATTTGGATGATAAGAGTAATAGCTTATAAATCTATTACTACATATGGGTTTTCTGAACCATCTGGTTTTCAACATATTATCTGTATTTCTTACAATTCTCATGTCAAGGAATGGTAGAGAATTATCTACCTCTTCCTCAACTGTAAATTGTATATGTTGATTATGATTGTTGAAAATGTTGACTGTTTCAAGAATTTTGTGTTTAGGAAGTGCCAAAACTAGATCGTCTACATATCTTTTGATAAATGGAATGAAAAAAGTGCAATTATTGATACAATCACTAATAACATCATCCATGACATAGCTACTTAGAATGGGTGAAAGACTAGATCCCATAGGGCTACCAAAAATTTGTTTATAAAAAACACCATTAAATATAAAAATATTAGAATTAAAAACAAAGTTGATGAGTGTTTTAAAATGTAATAAGTCAATATTAATATGTTGCGAAATCTCATTCCAATGTTTTTCAACACTACTTATGATTAAATTTAAAGGTAAATTAGTAAAAAGACATGTTACATCAAAACTAACTAAAACATAATTTTGTGGTAATTGGAAATTATTAATGAAAGAACTAAAATCAAATGAATCTTTTATGTAAAAATTGTTATTTAAATTATAAGCATTGGTTAAGATGTCAGTGAGGAGCTGTGCTATTGGTCCATTTGGAGGGCATAGAGATGAAACAATTGGTCTCATAGATAAAGTTGGTTTATGTATTTTAGGTAGAGCATAAAACCGTGGTGCAATAGAATTACAAATTTTGAGTTCTTTTGCTTTTTTATTATCAATAAATTTCTTACTGTTTTATTTTGATACTAGACAATTTGCTTTTTGTTGTAAAGTACAAATAGGACTCCTTCTAAGTGTAGTGTAATACTTAGTATCATTTAAGAGTTCTCCAGTTTTTTGTAGGTAATCCTCTTTATACATTACAACAGTTACGTTATCTTTATCGCTTTTGACAATATAAATTTCAGGATGGTTTTTAAGAAAAAGTTTAGTTTGTAAATAGTATTTATTTAAAAAATGATCTTTGACCTTTATGTAAAAAGTTTGTAATGACGTTTGTACATTTAGATCTAACAACATCCTTTTGATTATCATTAAGTGGTCTGATTATTGATTCAATATCAGAAAGTAAATTAGGAACTCTAATATCAGATTTGGAAGGACATAAAGAAAATTTAGGTCCTAATGCTAAAAATTTTTTAATTTCAAAAGGAAACTGAATAGATGTTAGATTCTTAAACCATTTTTCTTGAAATTTATCTTATCAAAAGCTTCTATTTTTAATCTATTGAACTTATTAATTTGTATTTTTTTGATTTTATGAAATTCTGAAATTCATCTGTGTTGTATTTAATTCTTTGTCTACGATTAAATTCATTAAATGTGTGGAAATTTAAAATGAATTTAATATATACATACATACATATATATATATATATATATATATATATATATATATATATATATATATATATTTATATATATATATATATTTATATATATATATATATATATATATATATATATATATATATATATATATATATGTATAGAGAACTTTTTATTGTAAACAGTTAAACTAAAAAGAATAAAAGAATAATTGTATCGAGTCGAGTTTGAATTTGTAACGCGGGAAATAAATGTAGTAAATATAAATTAGAATAGTGTCAGTGGAAAATAAATTGGTGTAAGATTATATATAAATTAAATATATAAAGACTCTAATAAACTAAGTGTTAGATCATTTAATAATAAATAAAGTTAATGAAATTTATAAAAATAGTTCACTTATATTGAGTAAAGTGATGCCTCTATAATTATCACACATCATCATGTCTCCCGTTTTGTGAAGTGGACACGGTATACCAAATTTTCAGTTTGCGGGTGTTTTTTTCTGTTACCAGATTTTAGTGATTAATTTGTGCATATTATGTTTTAAAAGGGTGGCGCCGCCGTTTTAAAAAGTTCGACAGAGAGATTATCCGAATCGGGAGCTTTTTTATTTTTCAATTTTAAATGGCTTTTCTAATCTCTTCTTCGGTAGGAAATGGGTGCCGATAATTATTGATCTGTTCCTACAGGTACTAAATAATATTAAAATGGCAGCATAATGTAAAATTGACATCAAAAAGTCAAACTAGAGTTGCGCATTAAAATTGCAAAAAAAAAAGAATGTTGACCGAAATTATGAAAATTAAAAAAAAATGAATATCGAGCTATGATCAAGTACCTGTTTTTGAAGGGGTTAAGAGGAAAGCAGATTTAAGTATATTCCCTTAATACTCTTAGCGATCAATGTCCTTCATGTAAGATCGTTAGTAATTGGACTGTAATATTCAAAAGAAGAAAATTTTCTATTAAAAATTAACGTATTTTCCACATAACGTCGACGTAGACATGAAATTTTTGTTTGTAAAATGAATACCCGAATTTCTGAATGTTCATCAGAAGGTGCGAGAGTTTGTTAAGCATCACCGTCGATCTGTGCTCGATTTGAAAGAAAAAAGAAATGCAAATTTCATAAGCCTTCTTGTTCATTGGATGAAATTTGGGAACATTTCTACAACGCCACAACAAACAAATCAACAATCGATCGAATGAAGACATACGCTGGTGCAGTTTTTTGAGATTTCCAAAGAGTACTCATGAGTGATTTTTTGGATAATGGTAGAAAAATAATTAGGACGCATTAATCGACGTTGCAGATCAGTCGACGAGAACAAATTATGAAGAAAAAACACGAAAAGTGATTCAAATGTATTTTGTTTGTGTACGATAACGCTCCACCATTTAAATCGCATGTTCTTATGCAAACATGTCCTGATTTAGGTTTCGAAGTATTTGAACACGAAGTCTGGTTTGCAAAGATTCGTCTTAATAAATATTTCTAATTAAGAGATAAGTGTATGTTGAATAATAATACACCTTGACTTTTAAATTTTGTTTGCTTCTGTAGTAGGCTAACGATGTTTGGCATTATCGTAAAATAATTAATTTAAAAAATACTAGTATCTAAAACTTACGGTATATCCGACAGGACTATCAACGGTATTTTGTTCCAACTTCTTCTGACAGGAAATGTGATAAAAAGTAAACAATAGATGATGATTATCGGCTAATGCAGCTGGCAGCTTAATTTTGATTTCGTCATAAAAAGCAGGATTTTTACAATGATATGTAACACAAGAATATGCTTCGTTCGTCATCTCGGGACAGCTGGATTTCCCGAATATGCTAAATAAAGCATTCTTTTCTTCCTCTCCCGCCATTAACTGGATGCGAACAGCTAGATTCCTCGCAGAACCGGTTCTGTTTGAGAAGTTCAGATCTTTCGGAGATACGAATAAGAGATTTCTGTACGTGTAGTAAGGAACAAGCAATTCCTTTATCGGGAATTCCAGTAGTTCTTTTGTAGGTCTACTCTTTTCGTCAGGATATGGCCGAAGTTTTGCTAACTCCGGTGTTAAAGAATTTCTAAAATTAAAAATAAATATTGTTAGAGTTATTAAAAATCTACATTTTCTGTAAAAATATTATATTTTAACTTGTAACAACCATACTTCGTGAGCCGAAATCTAGTCAGTAGGGTTTACCAACATCTTGTGATAAGAGACAAAACCATTGTCCTCACATTATGTAATGATACTGCATTATGTAATGATACGAAAAATAACCCACCCTCAGTAATTCGGAAACTATGATCCCGTTACCATAGTGCAAGGTTCTGAATATAAAGATAAACTACTGCAAAGTATACCGGAAAACCGCGATAAAATTATTGTGGGTAAATAAGCAAAAAAGTACTCAGTTTGTTACACTCTCCCGGCTAGGCAAAAAATATAACAAGAACCTATATGTTTCCTGCGTACATATATAACAAGAACCTATATGTTTCCTGCAGCCGATTTTTTGAACACGATTGTTTATTAATAAACTAAGGTCAAAATCGGTCAAATTTCGCTTCTTTCGTCTGTCAGCAAAAAGTGAAGCATTTGAAATAAATTTGAAATAGTGTAACCGTTTCAAAAGTTTTAGAAAATTCAATATAAATTTGAATATTTTTTTTATAATGAAACTACTAACCCCATCTATTTGCCAGATGTTTGTATTCGACTCAAGGTCCTACATTATCTCTTAACATATCCGATGAGAGCGAACGATATTAAGCTTGTCGGTCACGCCTTCATTTCAAACCGCGAAATAGTTTCGTAGTTCTTTCTTGTTGCAACCGTTCGTTTGATCGGACCTGTGTTTCGAATGAGTTACTAAATTAGGGGTGAGTTACAAAGAAAGTTTTTTTTTATATTTCAGATGAATAAATGTTTTTCAGACTCTTTTTCCGGGAGGTTAAACTTTCAATGATTATGTCAAATTAACTGGAACATTTTCCGACAGTCCAATACTTACTATAATATGGCTTCCAATAATTACATATAATACAAATGGATCTTTACTATGAATTATCTGATGGAGTAGTTAACAGATGGACGGAAACAGGATACCTCTTCATCTTTGATTTTCCGGAGAATGGATAAATAAGGTTGTACCTTTTTTTTATTAAGCCCTATCAAGAGCGAGAATTTTCCTTATGGATTCATAGAGACAAAATATTGGAATATCTTAATTTTATTTAAAGTTTTTTTTTACTTAATATGTTTAATTAATATTTAACTACTATTATATCCTAAATGTGAACAAATTTCGAAATTTGGGAAAGAAACATAGTTTCATTTATTATTAATGATCAATTTTTGATTTACTACGATATGTAGTTGTTCTTTTATTTGTAATAATACAGTTCCATTTATTATTAACAACCAATTTTTGATTTACTACGATATGTAGTTGTTTTTTTTTTGTTATTAATAAAGTCAATAAGAAACGTATGTTTTTTATAATTTTCAGTTTTAGTACAAGCAACCAGTAAAGTAGAGTATAACTTAATAATAACTCCTGTTATTTGACTTGGTTTTCACAAGTGTCTAGTTGACACATTTCTAATTTTTAGATAGCTATGTTGTATTCCTTTATGGAACTTTTAATGTTCTTTGAATATATAATTTTATTTGCAGCACATAGTGCCAAACAATAATCTTAAATAAAAACACTTTATGACATTTTACAGCTTCATTAATTTTTAATAATCAATTCGTGATTGGATACGATAATTAGTTGCTTTGTTTATATTAAATCCAACATGAAGTAATATGCAATGTTTATGAATAATACAATTTTGAATGTCTCTTTTATTACTGAATTTTGATTTCCTTTTATACTCGCTTCCTCGAGTTAAAATACAGGATGGCGCCCAGCGATAATTTATTATTTCATGTTATCTAGTCGTGTCTAATTTTTCGAAGTATTACGTAGTTTCTTATTTCTTATTTACATTAGACCGTACCCTACCATTTTCTCCGACTATAGCTATCGTGGCCTTGAGCTGATGTGTGATTAGATGTTCCAAATAGGAACGTTACAATAGTTATATAAAAACCTTCAAAATAGCGTTTTTTTTAATGTTACTATCCTTATTTGTTGCTTATATTAATTGTATAATAAGTCAAAAACTTTATATTATATGGAATGTTGGGTCTTGTAGAGTTTAAAATATGCTCAAAACTTCAAAGCGATCGGTCAAATAGTTTAAAAGATATTTTATTTATTTATTCAATATAGGTCATAACATAATGAACTTACAGTAATTCTACTGGTAGCTTACGAAAGAAGAATATTTATTCTATCAATATTATTAAAAAAAAATGAAGAAAAACAATTTTAAATTGTTTGCAAAATAATTGCACAATCATTTTGCAAAAACATTTAGAATAACTTTTTAACCACTTCCTACAGGAAAATTATTTTTTCACATTAAAAAGTTTTCATTTTTTCACAAATTAAAAAAAAAGTTGTCCTACGAAAAGTTGGGAAGTCCCATTTTTTTTTAATTCACAGCAACTTTATTTATTAATACGGCAACAATTACGAAATCAAATAAGCGTCATCTGAAAGAACATACTTTAGAGTTTTAATTCTTAATAGTTAAAGCTGCAAAATGTCTTCCTCAAAATCAGCCTGCTTTGAAACTGGAGGGAGGATGGAGGGGGAAGGAGCTGTTAACTGTATTTATGGTTTTTATTAACGGATTTCGACGTTTTTTTAAATTTGTACGTACTTTTTGTGTACATTACGAATATGTATTATTTAAATAAATAATAAATATTTATAATTAAATATATACTTCTTCTAAATCTATACTGATTTATGTATTGCCTTGGAAATAAAAAATGTCAAACAAACTAGGTTTTATTTCGTGTTAAACATGCTATTAGATGAAGGAAAAACTGAAGTTACAGGTCACTGTCACGAGAAAGATCTTATTTCCCTGGACTTTATTATGGTCCAAGGCGAGACCATAAGCAGCGCAAAGTGGAAAGAGTTTAAGTACTTGTTGAAGCAAAACCTCGAAGCAAAAAAGTCTCGATGGAAGACGCTAAAACTACAATCATAGATGTAAAGAAAACATAAAAAATCTTACAGGTCGCAGTGTGGAAATGTTTTCGGGGCCAAACGACCCCTTTATCTATAATCTTGAATAATTGTGAGATATGAGAAAAAAATATTTGATCTATTCCTGAGTGATCAGTCCATGGATTTTATTTATTTTTATTTTTACGCACAACAGGCCGTTAAGGCCTACGGCATTTTTTTACACAACCCTAATATTAACTAATTACAATTATTTTAAACAAAACTTCAACTTAAATATGTATATACAACATTTTTAACTACTCTGAAGGACCTGGTGGACGATATTTCTCCATTCGCTTCTATTTTGCGCTTTTCTTTTCCAGTCCCTCACCTTCACGTGTTTAAGGTCTTCCTCCACTTTACTAATCCACCTCGTTCTGGGTCTACCTCTTCTTTTGGGACCGATTAGTTTTCTGGTTATTACTAGTTTGGGCATTCTGTTTGTTGCCATTCTTTCCATATGTCCCAACCATCTGATTCTTTGTGACTTGACGAACTTGGTAATGGTAGGTTCTTTGTATAAAGCCATTAATTCATTGTTGGTTCTTCTCTCCCAACCATCTTCTGTCTTCCGTCCTCCGAATATGCGTCTCAATATTTTCCTTTCCCATCTTTCCAGAGTATCCTCTTCCTTCTTATTTAATATCCATGTCTCACCGGCATATGTTACTGTGGGTCGAATTACTGTTTTATATATTTTGAGTTTACCTTGTCTAGAAACCTATTTTGAGTACAGTAGGGCTCTTAAACTACCTAATTTTTTATTCCCTTTTGCTATTCTGGCTTCAAGCTCCCATTTCTATTTTCCATTTTCATCGAAAACTACACCCAGGTATTCAAATTTGTCCACCCTTTTAAAACTATAGCGTTTACCAGTTACAGACCTCACACTAAAGTCTTCTTTTTGACAAGCAGTGGTGCTCATTTTTCATGATTGTTTCTTCCACCTTCATGTTGCATTTTCTGATTACAGTTTCTAACATTAGGTTGAATAATGTAGTGGATAAAGGATCTCCCTGTCTCAAGCCTTTTGAAACCGTACATTGATCTGATATGTGACCCGGATTAGTTTCTTTGGTATACTCAAATGTTCCATGGCTCGATACATTTTGACTCTATCGACTCTATCATATGCTTGTCTAAAATCCACAAACAAAACATGCAAGGGAACTTTACCTTCATAACAAGTCGTTTGTATCTCCTTTAATGAGAAGATTTGGTCTACAGTAGATCTGTCCTTTCTAAAGCCGGCCTGATATTCACGTAGGATTCTTTCCTTGTAGCAATTTAGTTTCTTTCTTAATATTCTTGCCAAGATTTTGTATACCGTTTCTAGTAAGGCTATACCTCTATAGTTGTCACACTTCAGTTTGTCTCCTTTTTTATGCAGAGGGCATATGCGGACCTCATACCACTCCGACGGCATTATTTCCTTTTCCCATACTTGCACTAGTAGCTGATATATTTTTCTTTGTAGTTGTTCTCCACCAAACTTGATCATTTCTTTGCATATGTCATTTTTACCAGGAGTTCTGTTATTTTTCATTTTTTGTATTACTGTCACCACCTCCTCCTCTGTACGCTGCATTTCAACTATCGCTACTTCTCCAACCGTCCAGTTGTCTTCTGTTTCGTGGTCCACCTCACCATTTAATAATTCTTCAAAATGTTTTTTCCATTCCGTCATTATTTCTGCCTGATCGCTAATTAAATTTCCGTCTTTACCTTTCATATAACTACAGTGGCTTTGGTAACCTTTTCCCATCTTTTTAACTTCTTGATAGAACGACCTCACCTCTTTGTTTTTAAACTTCACTTTAAATTGTTAAATAAACCATCTAATTTGTTTAAAATTGTTTTAGTAATATTTCGGGTAATTTTTAATGTCAAACATAAATATTTATGATTAATATATACTTCTTCTAAATCTTCTAAATCTTCTAAAGAAGTCTCGACAGAAGGCGCTAAAACCACAAACATAGATGTAAAGAAAACACAAAAAATCTTACAGGTCGCAGTGTGGAAAGGTTTTCGGGGCCAAACGACCCCTTTATCTATAATCTTGAATGATTGTGAGATATGAGAAAAAAATATTTGATCTATTCCTGAGTGATCAGTCCATGGATTTAACTGCGAATAACATACTTTGTCCAGTTTTTAATGTATGCTTAGTGAAGTATTTCTGAGAAGACTACGTCATACATAATTTAAAAATTGTTGAAGAAGCACTGAAGAGGCCAACAGAACTATGTTGAACAAGATTACTCGGCAATTGACTGAAAAAATGTCCTATCTTACATATTTTTACGGCTGCTGCATAGCACCTACTTTTTACGCGCCGGCTGTAGAAAATTAATAAATGTACATATATACATATCACCACATTTTTCTTACCTTATTTCTACAGGACACGGGGATATCTCTAACTTTAAGGTAGCCGGTATACACTTCAATTTTTTTAACACCAAAGTAGGTTTCTTCAATTCCTGTAAACTTTTATACAAGTCCTCATCTTTGAGTCTATCACTTTCTTGTTTAAAAAAAGATGACATCGTCAGAGTGATAGGCCTGAATGAATCAATGCTATTGGCTAAATGATGGGGCGACCATGATCGTCTCTTATTCTGCCTCTCTAACGAACCTCTTCGCGTTAATGTACTCATATCAGTTGCTCGACGTCTCAATTGCTCCAAACCACCTGCTGATGATTTTCGGTCTAAAATAAAAAAAAATATTTTATTGGAGAATACTAAGAAAGCTGAAATATTTTTACTGCCTTAACTAATAATTTCCTCAAAACAGATCATAAATTTAAACACAGTGAAATATTTGCATAGAAATATTTGCATGCGCATTTACTGAAGAGAAATACTTGTTGGTAGAAATACTATGCGCATTACAGTACAACGATCTTGTTACATTTTATAAAAACAAAATTGTTTTGATAAATTCATTAAAACTGCAAATAAATATTTATTTTTATTGGCAAATGAAACACGTCAACTACCTCATTGATTTACTAAAATACGTTTCCCTTTTATTATTTTTTTAAAAGCATCCTAAGTTTTCTACAAAAAGTAATGATATTAGTAAAAAACGAACGGTGTTCATACTTACTAAACAATGTGTAGGTTTTTATGATGTTATGAAACCTCTACGATATCTTAACAAACTAAAGGAGAAAAAAAACACAAGAAAACCTGTATGCGAGCACTACGTTCCATTATTTAATTTTTGGTATTTTTTTTATTTTGACCGATGGCTTCATTTAATGTTTTGATAAAGCTCTTTCAAGGGTCAAACCACACTAGCATAATTTCAGTTGTTTGCTATCCGTTGTTGAATGTCATGAGGTACGATTATCGAGGGGATTAGTAAAAGAAAAAAAAATAAAAGTTTTTTTGAAAAGGATTTAAATTTTTTTTATTAGATTAGATTCAATGGAGAATGGACCAATTTAGATTATTAGTTTTAAAAAAAGAAGAATACAGATATGAAGTTCATTTTTGTCCTCTATGGGTTTTTTTATTTGTTCTGTATGATGAGAGAGTGATATATCTGGCTTAAGTTATCGATGTCGGTTCTTTTATTTAGGGAATTTGGATGTTTTAGAATCTGGCACACTTCAAGGATGGATCGCTTACAATAATTTTGTTGTTTGCACAATATTTTGGTATTCGTGAAATCGATACTGTGTTTAGTTAAAATAGTATGCCAATGGAGTTTATGTCTTCGAAAATAACTTTCCTACGGTTCTAGTATTTTTTAAGGCTATTTTAACAGGTAAATTTTTGAAAAGTTCGGTAAGCTTGTTCGTGATTTGTTGGAAGTATGGGAGCGAAGCATATTTTGTGGTTTGTTCAGGGGTGAGTGGGGAATTATTCATCTGTATTTTATTAGAAATGGACGTTAATGTTAGCTATTAGTTGGGTGTTTCAGTAATGGACTGCCCATAGCCTTTGGGATATAGAAATTTATTGATACTGAATGCAGGATAGGAGTTGTCTATGGACTTCAGTAGATTGAAAGATTCTTCTTTGTAAAGCGGGTGTGTCAACGTGTGTACCCTAAAGCTGAGGGCCTTATCATAAGCGATCCATCATTGAAATGTGCCAAATTCTAAAACATCCAGCTTCCCTAAATAAAAGAACCGACATCGATAACTTGAGCCAGATACATCACTCTCTCATTATACAGAACAAATAAAAAACCCCATACAAGACAAATAAGACGTTCATATCCCTATTCTTCTTCCTTTTTTAACTGATAGTCTAAATTGGTCCATTCTCCATTGAATACAATATACAAAAAAAATTTAAATCTTTTTCAAAAAAACTTCTATTTTTTTTTCATTTACTAATTCCCTCGTAAGCGTACCTCACTGCATTCCAAATAAATACATGTACGAAAGTAAGCCACATGTGGAACTACGACATTCAACAACGGATAGCAAACAACTGAAAGTATGCTAGTGTGGTTTGACCCTTGAAAGAGCTTTATCAAAACATCCAAATGAAGCCATCGGTCAAAATAAAACAATCACCAAAAATTAAACAAAGAAACAATAGTGCTCGCATACCGTTTTTCTTGTGTTTTTGTTTTTATTTTTTATCGTTTAGTTTGTTAAGTTATCGTAGAGTTTATCGTATCATAAAAACCTACAAATTGGTTTGTAAGTATGAACGCTATTCGTTTTTTACTTATATTCTAATATCATTACTTTTTGTAGAGAATTGAGGACGCTTTAAAAAATAATAGAAGTGAAACGTATTCTAGTAAATTAATGAAGTAGTTGACGTCTTTCATTTGCCAATAATTGACCGATCAAACCTCTGCAATTCATCTATTGAATATATTTCAAATATTTATATATATATATATATATATATATATATATATATATATATATACGGGTTAACCGAAACCCAGGTTAACTGAAAGACATCGCGGAGCGAAATATACAGTACTATGACGCTTGTATTTATAACCTACGCGTAACCAAATCCACGCACGCGTTCCAGTATCACCACAGTATTTACTCTTGATAAAACTGTCCAAGTGAAAGTGCTATTACGAAATAAAGTGTTGTTTTTAGTGTAGTGCTCTGAAGTGATCTATTGTGAGATGGCAACAAAATAGAAAGAAATAATAAATGTTGATAGCTTGTGCCTAATATATAATATTTTGTATTCCACCGACAGTTGTTCTGATTCTGCTTTTGTATTTTATACAATTATATATTTATTTAGGAAGACCCAAGATGAGATGAGAGAATCAGCTAAAGACATTAGAAAGCTTGTACTTAGAAGTTGGAAAGCCATATGCAGAGACAAGAAAGAATGGAAAAGGATTGTAGTAGAAGGCGCCAAGTCACACGATCAATTATAGATAGAACTAAAGAAAACAGAAATCGAAAGAGCCCCAAGACGATGCCATACCTACACTAACTACTAAGTTATATTACCATTAAGCAAAACTTAAAAAAAAACATTCTAAACTGCATTAAACCAAAATTCTATTAATAACTGACGGACCAAAGGAAATTTCTCAATATATTAACTGTTTCGTGACAGAGAAATAAGCTCTAGGACTCACTGGAGTAATTTTGTTAATACGCATCAAACCTTCTTCAAAGCAATATCTTACCTAAACTATTAGTATTTGAAGATCCCCCTCCCATGGAATCTCGGTCAGAGTCTCTCTCTAAAGAATTACCTCCATTGATAACGTTTACTAAATTGATAGCAGTCCAAGCAAATGCTTGTCTGTACTTTCCTAATCGCTCGCACACTGAAACAGCGACTGATTTAAGTTTATCTCGATTCTGAAAAAAAAAGGAACCTGTTAGTAGTTAATATTAGTAATTACATAACTTAGACACAATAAATATTATTCTACTGATTCCTTCTACATTCACATTCTAGCATCTTTATTATTAATTTTATTAGGTTTCTGGGGCAAAGAATTTTTCTCTTGAATATTAATAGTGTTACGATAATTATGGCGTTTATAACTATCAATATATTATGACTAATTCTGTTTTCTGTTCCAGTAAATTCGAAGTTGTTTACAGAAACCTCTAGACCCTAATTTTATGAGTAATCCACGTCTCGAGGCTTTTCAAACAGTTGAAAAACGAGTCGAGCGCCTTCACCAAAATACGAGATTATTCAAGAAGTCCGTCGAAATTTCGAGATAACAACAGTTGTGTATATAAATGAAAGATTTATTTATTTGGCAGTCAGTCATAAGAAGATCGGGAAACGCGATTTACTTGTAACGAAACGTAACAAATAAATTTGTATTTAATAAGCTATTTAATAAATTAGTAATTAGTTATCGTGAGTTTTAATAAATTAGAATATAGACAATAAATTAGAATAAAGACAAATAAATTAGAACTATATAAATATACAACAGTGGTGCAGAAGTGGGATTGAAGATAAATTTAATTTGATTTTTGAAAAAGACTTTTGAACTTTTGAAAGGTATTGTTCGTCGGGAACATCCGCGTAGTTCAGTAGTGATCGTTGTACGAAAGAACATTTAAAAAGTACGTGTGTGCCTGACCAAAGATGCTGCTAGTAGAACTTTCAGTAAAACAGTTGCGTGAGCAACTAGAAGAACGCGATGAAGACTGCAGCGGATCCAAGAAGATCCTCCAAGAACGACTAAAAAATGTTCTTAACAAGAATGGAGATGACCCAGAGACATTCCATTGTCAATCAGCAGAAGAAGCAGTTTTAATGAAGATCGAAGAGAGTTCTAAAAAAAATGATGAAAGATTCAATGAAACGTCTCAAATTATTAAAGAAGTAGCTAGACAAAATGACGAGAAATTTGAAAATGTTGCTAGAAGATTCGACGAGACTTCTCAAATAATTAAAGAAATATGTATTCAGAATAGTGAGAAATTTGAAGAAGTCTCTAAAACATTTGATAAAGTTGAAGAGAAAATCAAACATTTAGAGACCATGATAACTAACACGAGAGTGCTACCACCAATTAATACGGTAGCTTTAGATCCGGTAGAGATAAAAGAAGACGAGACGAAATGTAAGTTGGAAACACGGCCAAAATTTGAAGGAAGGTTATGTTCATGTCAAAGTTCCAACTTTCGACGGAAAATCGTCATGGAACAACTACATGAAACAGTTCGAATCAGCTGCAAGAGCGAATGGATGGTCAGAAAAAGAAAAGGCTGTAAACCTGACTATCGCTCTTCGAGGAGATGCCTTAAATGTGCTCCAGACCATAGCCGTAGAGGAGACGGATGATTTCGAACAACTGAAGAAGAGGTTAAATATGCGATATGGCCACGAACACTTGGAGCATGTATATCAGTCGCAGCTCAAAAATCGAAGACAAAAGAAAGATGAGGCTCTTCAAGAATATGAAGTAGATATCGCCAGATTAGTGCGATATGCTTATCCAACAGCTCCCGAAGACATGATGGAAAAGTTGGCCGTTCAAACGTTTATTGATGGTCTTCGTGATCATGAGATGCAAAGAACACTACGATTAGCTCGTCACAAGATGCTGGTTGATGTCTTATCCGCCGCCCTCGAATACGAGTCAGCTACGCAGGCCTCTGGCGGTTACAGTAAAGTTAGGACTGTAAAAGAGGAAAAAGATGAAGATAAACTTGACCAGCTCTTTAATATGATAAAAAGCATGACACACAAGAAAACGAAGACCATAAGACCGAAGACAAAACCAGAACGCGTCGGCCTTAGGGAAGCAGCTTCGACCCAGAACTTTAATACTGGATACGGGAGCGACCAGAAGCATTATTCGCCCGACAGTTATAAACAGCCGTAAGAAACTGTTACCAACGAGGTTGCGACTGCGGACCGCTACAGGTGAAAATGCTAACATTCATGGAGAAATCCAGGTACAATTAGGAATTGGAGCAGAAAAGTTCGTCCATACTGTTATAGTTGCTGACATCGAAGAGGATGTTATATTAGGAATGGACGTAATGAATACGCATGGATTCCAATTGGATTTTAAAAATAAAGTAATCAAAGTTGGTAACGAGGAGGTATTTCTCCATCCACATGATGACAACACTATGCAAGCAGCCGTTAAAGAAGATACAGTCGTGCCTGCGAGAAGTGAAACAATCATAGTAGCGCGGCTACAGGGAATTGTGGACGAAGGGACACCTGTTATGATGGAGCCTTGGAACCATGACGACGAAGTTGGCCGTGGAATCATAATTGGAAAGGAATTGGTGACATCGGCTAAAGAAATTCCTGTTAGACTTATCAATGTCAATGACTACCCAGTGACCATCAAGAAAGAGACAAAAGTAGGAACTTGTGTACCTGTGACATCCATAATCCGTCAGACGACAACGTCTGATAATTCCAACGACAAATTTGATCAAATGGTTGCAGTTGCTGGACAGTCTCTGAATCAGATTGAGAAAAGGAAATTAAGGGAATTTCTTCGGCAGTATCGTGATATTTTCGTACCGAAAGGAGGAAAGACGGGAAGAACTACCGTTGTTAAGCATAGAATTAATGTGTGGATTACCGTTTGCTGAACAACGTTACCAAGAAAGATAGTTATCCTCTGCCTCGGATTGATGACACATTAGACACATTGGCTGGAAGTAAATTATTTTCTACTTTGGATTTGAAGTCTGGATACTGGCAGGTAGAAATGGACCCGGTAGATAAAGAAAAGACAGCCTTCACCACAGGATCTGGATTATGGCAATTCAACGTTATGCCATTTGGACTTTGTAACGCTCCTGCGACATTTGAGAGCCTTATGGAAAATGTGTTGAGAGGGTTATCTTGGAAAACATGCCTAGTTTATCTAGACGACATAATCGTCTTGGGGGAGACATTTGAAGACCATCTGAAGAATTTAGAAAACGTTTTTAATCGACTTAAAGCTGCCCAATTGATGTTAAACCCCAAGAAGTGCCAGCTATTTCAAGGTAAAGTCAATTATCTGGGTCATATAGTCAGTAAAGAAGGAGTGGCCGTAGATAAGGGAAAAATCGATTCCATTAAGGAATGGCCAAAACCAACTGACAAACATCAAGTGAGAAGTTTTCTTGGACTATGTACTTATTACCGGAGGTTTACTAAGAAGTTTGCAGATATCGCTAAACCATTAACGCGACTTACAGAGGAAGCAAGAGAATACCGCTGGGATGTAGACTGCCAAAATGCCTTTGAGACCTTAAAAAAGCATTTAATCACAGCACCAATTTTAGGGTATCCACTGCCAGAAGGAGAGTTCATCTTAGATACAGATGCAAGTAATGTGGGAATTGGAGGAGTGCTGTCTCAGATTCAAGGAGGACAGGAAAGAGTCCTTGGATATTTTAGTAAAGTTCTCTCAAAACCTGAGCGGAATTATTGCGTCACGAGAAGAGAACTTCTGGCAGTAGTGAAATCAGTAGAGCACTTCTATCAATACCTCTATGGAAGGAAGTTTTTAATCCGAACCGACCATGCCGCCCTTAAGTGGTTGATGCAGTTTAAGAATCCAGAGGGTCAGATAGCCAGGTGGATCGAACGACTCCAAGAATATGATTTTAAGATTGAGCACCGGGCCGGAGTTAGCCACCGAAACGCTGATTCTCTTTCCAGAAGGCCATGCCCATTAGAGTGTTCCCACTGCAACAAAACGGAATCCAAGGAAGCAGCAGTGCTAAGAACGACGGTGGTCAATGACGACTGGACGCCTACCAAGATCAGGGAAGAACAAGAAGAGATCCAGTTATCCAGAAAATCCGAAAATGGAAAGAGGAAAACCGTCGACCACCTTGGCAAGAAATATCGAACCTAGGCTCAATAGTTAAGACGTATTGGGCCCAGTGGGACTCATTTATCATGGAAGATGGCTTGCTCAAACGAGTCCTGGAAAATGATGACGGTTCAGAGAAGAGAAGACAGCTGGTGATTCCAAAGAGCAGAATAGCCGAAGTACTTCGTCAGTTACACGACAGTCCATCAGGAGGGCATTTTGGTGTGAAGAAGACCCTTCAGCGAATTCGGGAACGGTTTTATTGGATGAACAGTTCCGACGATGTAAAAGACTGGTGTAAGAAATGTACTATTTGTGCTACGAGTAACGGGCCTTATCGAAAGAGGAGAACTCCTATGAGACAATATAATGTTGGAAGCCCGTTTGAAAGAATAGCTGGGTCAAATATAAAATGGGGAAAATAGACATTGCTGGGCCATTTCCAGAAAGTGATAATGGAGGCAAGTACATGTTGGTAGTAATGGATTACTTCACTAAGTGGGTCGAGATTTAGGCACTTCCAGACCAGAAGGCCGCCACCGTTGCAGATAAGTTGATCCAAGAATATATCAGCCGATTTGGAGTGCCTTTGGAGATCCATAGTGACCAAGGCAGGAACTTCGAAAGCGATTTATTCCAAGGAATATGTGATAGACTAGGTATGAAGAAAACAAGAACTACGGCTTATCATCCGCAATCGGATGGTATGGTAGAAGAATGAATAGAACAGTTGGCAAGTATTTGACAAAGATGGTGTCCGATCATCAGCGAGACTGGGACCAATATCTTCCGTTCTTCACAATGGCCTACAGATCTGCTGTTAATGAGTCAACAGGCCAGACACCAGCCAGAGTCCTATTCGGACGCGAGATGCGACTACCTTGTGATCTAGAGTTTGGGTGTCGACCTGGAGAAGATGTAGCAGGTGAAGATTATGTGATCGAATTACGAAGAAGAATGGACGATGTACACGAGTTGGTCCGTTCCCATCTCCAGATCGCTAGTGACCGAATGAAGAAACGGTACGATACGCAAGCCGAAAAGGGGTGTTTT